GTCCAAGTCCCGGACCTGGCAGCTTTCTTTTTTACTCTCCCTCCCTCTCTCCCTCTCTGGTCAAATTAAAATAAATAAAGTTAAATAAAATAATTCTTTAAACACAAAAATGAGGCCTGGGCATACCTCCCTGTACTGGAACTTGCTAAAAGGAGGCCAGACTGGCATGGCCACCATGTCTCCAAGTTTAGGGAGAAAGCAGTGAGGAGACTCTTGGAGGAAAAGGAGGCCCAGGAGGAATCCCTTACTGCTTCCCATCTCTGTGGGTGGGGACAGGGACCCGGGAGAAGCAGCCCGAGGTCCCAGGGCTCAGCAGTGTCTGCAGAGGTGTACGTACGTGTGCATCTGTGGGTCCCCAGCCAGCCTGGTGCGGGGCAAGGCTGAGGACAGAGGAAGTGGGTGTGTCTGAGCTGGATGGCAGGTGACATGAGGGAGCACCCAGTTTGCATCCAGCCGGGCAGGGCTCCTTCCACATCCCAGACTCAAGGCAGGAAATGAAGCCCGAAGAAGCTACAGAATACCCAACCTGCCCCTCTTCCAATCCCCGTCCCTCATCTGCAAGACACAAATCTTTCTCCCGGGCACACACTTGCTCCAGAGGATGGTTGGCTGAGGGCTGCCCTTTCACCCCAGGGGCAGGGAAGGACTCTGGGGAGGTAGGTTTGGAGCCAGAAAGGAAGGCACTTCTCACGAAGTGTGCATGACTCACATTCAGGCCCAGACGGGAGTGGAGCCTACAGCTAAAAATACCCTGGGGTGGGGGTGGCCATGTCACAGGTGACTCAGGCCCACAGAGCCATCCAAGCCTCATCCCTCTTGGGGAGAACTCTCCTACCGCCCTGCCTGGCTGGAGGTTTGCAGCAGTTCTTTTTGCCCTCTCCTGCCCATGATCCACACACACACAGGCCAAGTTCTTATTCGGGTGAAACCAGGGGAAGCCTGGCCTTAGCACCGGGGCGCTGGGGCTGTATGGTCAGAGTTTGGGGTCCCCCTCTTCCCACAGCCCCATGCCCTAGGGTGCCTGAAGTTCCACTGTTAGAACATCCTCCTCCCCTCAACGGACATATCCCCTAGTGAAGGTCACCAGCAATATATCTTCAAGTCAGGAAAACCTCCCAGACCCTCTCTAAAGTACAGGTGTTGCCGGGAGAGACCCTAGGACCAGGAGGGGTCCTGGAGGAGGGGGTGGAGGTGGCTTCATGGGAGTCTCCAATCCCAAGGGTCCCCCGCCCAATCCCCAGCCCCTAATCACCTGGCCTCCAGCACAGAGCAGCGCAGCCGGGAGCCCCGGGGCCCTGGCACCACCTCCAGCCGCAGGTGAATCTCACCCTGCACCTCCTCGTCAGGGTCGATCTCCGTCAGGTGGGCCCACCCGCAGAAACCTGTGGAGCTGCGACTCAGACAGGGGTCTGGCTCTCTCCTGCCACACCCTTCACCTCCCCGCCAGGCACCATGTGGCCCCTCCAGAATCCCCCCAAACCCCTATGAGCCAGGAACTGTGGGGAGAGATCAGGAAACTGAGGCTCAGAGGCTGAGCAGCAGCAGTTGGGAGAGCTGGGATTAGAACCTAAATCAGTGACCTGGGGCCTGTGCCCTCGTGCTGTGCCAAGCTGCAGTCAGTGGTCCTGACCCTTACTTATCATGGGCGTACCCTCTCTGTCCTCAGTCCCCCCGCTTTTAAAAAATTAATTAATTGCCAGAAGGCACATGCAATCACAAGAAAGCGGGGGCAGTGGGGGAGAATCCCAACGGGGGTGTGGTCATGCTACAATCCCTTCTTCTTCATTATCTCAGGATCTGGGGGACGCACATAATTGCTCTGTATGTTTTTCAGGCAGAGGGGCCGGGATGTGAACCACAATCAACTATGTGGGATCCAGTTCCCTTCACCACCAGGCTACAAAGCCAGTCCCCACTGCACCCCCATGTTAGAACAGGAGGAGGGTGGCTCTCCCCAGAGCTGCTGGGAGAACGGTCTGAGGCTCAGATGGCGAAGCGAAAGTGACTCCAAGGAATGGCAGCACTGGGGCCACTGGACCCAGAGGGGCTGGCTGGGGCTGCAGGCAGCAGAGGCCTCTGGCCTGACCAGGGCCAAGAAGCCCCATGAGTCAGCAGAGCCCGCCCCCATGCCTGCCCAGCCTCACAGACAGGAGCAGGTGTGTGCCGAGGAAGGCCACTGAGAGGGTCACGGAGGTTCTGACAGCTAAGCACGAGGCATCCCAGAGCTCCTGGTCTGAACCACCAGAGAAGGCAAGTCCTGCCCAATGTCACACAGCGAGGCCGAGGCCAGCCTGATACCTCAAAAGTGTCTGCATCTCCAGCCCAGACCGGCTCCAGCCAGCCCTTCAGACTTAGGACAGGTGCAGTGGGGCCAGGCAGAGGGGACTCCAAGGGGTACAGGAGGAGCAGCTCAGCTGGGGCATGGGGACTGAGGAGGCCCCTCCTCTGCCCACCGTCCTCAGATCCCAGTTAGTTGAGGCTGGGGAGCAGGAGATGCCACAGGCTCAGGCCTGGGAGTGTAGTGCTGGCTTTCCCTGAACACGAGGAGGTGTCTGAGGCCAGGGGCTGGGCAGATCATGGGGCAGGGGTGGGGGATTCCAGGAGAGGGCAAGCAGGTGCCAGCCGTGGACCCCCTCTTGGAGATCTTACCCTTAGGGTGAGAGGCGAGGGCGTCCCTGGTAAGGCAGACCTTCCCGATAACGTCGTCCCGGCTGGAATGTGGAGAGAGTCAGAGGTGGGCAGGACCTGCTCCTTGGGAGCCCAGCATCACCCCCCATCAAGTTCAGGACCCCGCATGGGGAGCAGTGGGGTTGACACTTAGCCACTTGCAGTTAGCAGGTGACCTGCAGGCCCTGGATTCCGGACACTCAGACATGTGATACGTTTCTATGCAGGGACCAACACATGTGCCCACACACGTGCCAGCTTGTGAGTCCTGGGTGCCATTTTCTAGTCCACATCCCCACACACGCATAGCCCATGCATGCCTGGGCCCACATGCCCGCACCTGCAGATGTGTGATGTGGTGTATGCAACATGAATTCACATGTGTGTACCCACGCACGTTCAGGCCTTATGTCCCTTCGGGGCTCCCATTCCCTCCAGGCTGCAAAGAGGCTGCAAAGGGACCAGCAATCCCAGCAGGGGACTGGGCCGGGGAGTAGGGCAGACAGCCACACCTGGGCCTTGCTGAAGTGCGAGGGTGGGGCACACACCTGAGGGCATCCTCATCCATGACGTAGAAGGCCACGGCATGGAAGGTGGGTGGCAAGTGCACTTGGTACTCCTCACCCCAGAAGGGGCACAGCGTCTTCCACACAGTGGCCGTCCTACAGGAGAGGCCCCTCAGCACGTGCCCGTCCCCAGCCTGGGGCTGGCAGGGCAAGGCTGTGAGACCGGGGCCCACCTCCCTCACACCTCCTCCCATCCCGTAACAACCAGCTCTGCCATTTCCTCAGACCCACTACCCACCAGTCATTACCCCGACCCTCCTCTCGGTCCTGGCTGGGGCACAGGGCTGCATCTAATGGGCCATTTTACATTTGGGGAAACTGAGACCATGGCAGTAGCGGGCCTCAGGTCATTCAGCA